CTCTCTCAGTGGATATCAAAGCTAGCAAACAGGTTGAATTTAACCACTCACTAACTAAACCCACCTTTCTTTGAGAAAAACTGTGTGGCATACTGACGCCCTGTCTTCTGCCTGTCCTTTCTCCTTTCTTTCCTTCCTTTTCTGTGACCCAGACTTTGTTTTTGCAGACATGCAGCCTTGGCGTACTCTGCTGTCTGATTGCTGTGTGAGCTAGCCTGGCCTGCTACGCGCCCCTCGGCCAGGTGGACTGTACCATTTTATGCCGTTAGGTGGGGGGGTCAAATTAATTAGTCAAAATAAAGTAGGGACCTCTGAATAAATGCACATTTCATAAAGACTAAAAGATTGTTTAATGTCTTAAATGAGAAAAAATGCTGCAAAGTAGAGTACTTGTGATTTTTAAACTTTTTTTATTTTTTATTCAACTTTGAAACTTTTTTGGGCCCCTGACAGCTGTGGTCCCTTAGAATCTTCCTAATCTTTCACCGCTTTATGGCGCCCCTGACTTGAGTACATATTTTCAGAATTCTTTCCGCCACTGCTGAAAACTGTAAATGCTCATTGAAACATGTTAATTAAAATGCTTAAGCAACAGACGTGACATGAAGATTGTATTGTTTGTTTTATGTAACATCAGGAGCCCTACGCAGATATTTTTGGATGACATCAGCTGCCGCTGAGGAACAGCCATCTACCTCCACTGCTCATACCAGTAGGCCAGTATTTGAATTCGAGGAGGGACAGTCTGCTGGCATCACATCTCCCCAGGAAGATACTTTAGGTGGGTTTTGCACATGTGTGTGTGTCCAGCAAACATTTAGCTATAGACATTTAAAAAGTATTTTCACAATGTGGTGAGTTATGCTTCTATTTTCTGTCAATAGAGAGACCTACCAGTATATGTGAACTTGATGAGGGACAGCCAGCTGCCACATCTCCCCAACAAGATACGTCAGGTAAGTTTTGCACAAGTGTGTGTGTGTGTGTGTGTGTGTGTGTGTGTGTGTGTGTGTGTGTGTTTGTGTCTTTTAAACATTACAGAAATTTGAATGTCACATATTGTATTTTAATACAATAGCAAAGTGTTGAGTTATGCTTCTGTTTTCTGTCAATAGAGAAGCCTGAAACCGATCAACCAATGAGTCCCATTGAAGGTGATGATGAGCCTCTTTCTTCAGACCCAGCCAAGTGGCCATCACCAATTACCGACAGCATACGCACAGAGCTAGTTTGAAGAGGACCTACTAAGGTGCCAACTACTTTTATATATCCCAGGAATGAAGGCGATGGCAGATGTTGTCATCATCACTATTTCAGTAAAACTTTGACAAGTGGTGAGAAGGTGGCCAGGAGCTGGATGTTGTATTCAGTTAGCAACAATAGCCTTGTTTGTTTAGGTTGTAAGTTGTTTTCGAAAAGAAGTATCCAGTTAACCACCTCGGGACTGGCAGATTGGACACATGCAAGTTCTTTACAGAACTCACATTAGAAAAGCCCCGACCGTGTACGGGACAGGGTGGGGGTTCACAGGGGGGTCTCGCTCAGCTGTTATTTTTGTTAAGGAGTGTGCCCGTACAGCATGCGCACCTCGTGCACGAGCCTACTATTGAAGCTGCCATTACGATTTTGGCCTGAAGGGGCCATCGCGAGCATAAAAGCTCAAAAGTCCGTAAAGTCCCTTTAAAGAGGTCGTAATGTCCCCCTCAGAGTCTTACTCCACCCACGTATCAATTTTAAAAAATGCAACATTAGTAGGCATTGCCTGGAGGACCGAGAGGGCGGAGCCGCGGCAGTGACGAAGACGATGGCTAACTAGACGATGCTAGCTCCCTTCACTCTGAGCAGTTATTCGAAGTGGAGGACGTTTCTCCCCCTCCTTACCCAGACACTCGAGAAGAAAGGGACCAAGTCTATTTGGAGGAGACAAGCGGACCTGAGCCTTATTGTTTTGAGCTTGTGAGTTGCCTGAAACTACCTGAACCGACCCAACAGAACCAGCTCTGAATGGTAAGTAACCGTTAGCCATAGCATTAGATTAGCTGCAGGGTTTTGCTCCACGGCCCGAGAGAGCTAGTATTCAGCATGTTTTAGAAATTTATCTGCTTCAACACACCTGGTTTTAATCAGCAACAAATAGCTGAGCTGCTTAACAGCTAATCTAACCTGTTAAAGCAGGAAAACCACTGAAACGTGCTGGATAGCAGCTTTCCAGGAGCCCTGGGCTCAAGTTAGTCTGCTGCATAGAAAGTTATGAAAATACCCCATGAGAAAATTATTCTGTAATGTGTTCAGCCCACTAAAACTGCCCTGATTTCATTATTTATTTACTGATAACAGCTGCTCTCTTGGTTCTAGGTCCTCTGGTGTCTGCAGCTGGTCTCTGGTGTCGTCAGGATCAGGAGCTTCCGGAAGAATGTGCCTTTCAATGACTCTTTCCCCCTTATTTGTTATATTAATTAAATAAATCTCAATTTATATATTTCCTGTTTTTGTTCATGTCCATAAATACTTAAACATGCTTGAAATTAAAACGAGCTTTTAACAGTGAGGTGCTAGTTTAATTCATCACAATAGAGCTAGTTAAGCATGCAACAATGTGATAATCAATGTAATTTATAAATATCCATTAAAATATCAAAACTGGAATCTAAATGAGATATTTGGCAGCACAAAAAACTTGTCAAACACAATATTTATTATAATAATTGTAGGCAGACAGGAGACAGAGCTGATGGAGGTTCTCAGTCATCGAAGGATGGCTGAAGGCTTTCCAGGAACAGGAGATGTGGTGTTGTCTCTTCTCTCTCTATTCTGCCAGATGAGCTATAGGTTACAGGTGTGTGAGGACATCCTCATGCTGTCATAACCAGATGACAAGAGTTATCAGGTGATCAGCCAGGCTAATGAGATGCAGAAAGAAAACAAATTCAGGACAGTGTACAGTAATAACAATAATATGTGGTGTTGCTCACCTTACGTGCTCTTAGAGTATTAACGTGTGCCTGCTTCATGGTGTAGAGTCCATATTTTGCTGAGTGTCCTGCAATAATGCAGGTTATTAGTTAATTTACTTTTGATAGCAAAAACAAAATATTTAATGTAAAAGTTATTTACCAGGTGAATCAGCTCACACGTCACCACCAAGTGTCACAGGGCCAGAATCAGTAGCCTCCTTCATGATGTCATGATGCAATCACATACTTATTTAATTGTTAATATCTTAAAAATTCTGAAATGTTTTAATTTTTTTTACCTTGAACAGTTCACTGAGCTTGCACTGTCACTGAGGTGGAAGCTGGAATCAAGAGCAGACACATCACATCGTTGGTCTTTTCAGGGGTGTGGACGCTGCTCTGGGACTTTCTGGAAGATGAATTTCCATCATGGTCCCTGTGTCACAAGACACACTGCGGCTGTGAGCTCTATTCTGGCTGGCTATGTAAAAACAAAGAAGCAGCACATTTATAAATGTTTAAAAGAGCATAAAATCACGTGTAACAATAATCTGTAAAACAAATAAAACTAGAAGGTAATAATAAAATGTTTACATAGAAGATTATTAAAAATAATTCACCTTTGCTACGGGTAAGGCTTCACGTCAGCCTGGACAAGTGCATTCTGACAGCCAATGTCTTGGGTAGATTTAGCCTGAAAAAAAAATAGAAGCACATTGTTGTTGGAGTTTATAAAGTCAGATAAAATACAAAAGAAACTGTCCTATATAGGCGCTTTATAACATTCCTAGTGTGTGATCGTTATTATAACGTAAAAGTCAGTCACATATGATGTGGAGAGCCTGAAATGCGACCTGAACAGAATAACTTACAGAACCGGGTCACAAGCTGGATTTCACGTTGTAATGCTGTCTGTCAACTAGTGCTGCGTCAGTTAGAGCCACTGTTGCAGAATTACCGACTGACTAGCTAAAGGAAGTGAACCACGTCTCTCAAACTTTGCATTTAGGTAGGGAATTGTCTTTAGAAGATGTTACAACGTTTATTTTGCTGACTCACCTCAGTCTGGAGCCCGCCGTGGTGGGGGAGCAGAGTCGGTGGGCTGCATCTAAATCACGGAAGAGCCACGGTGGGCACAGCCTCCCTCTTCAAACGGAGACGTGCAGAATCGCGGGTAAAATGCCCACAGAGCCACCGCAACCATACTACACTACACCTACTCACCAATACTAACACGATATGGAGCACTAAACCCGAACTACTTTCCTAATTACACTAACAGCCAAACACTAACTAAACTACAATATCCAACAGCCAAACTAACACTAAATAAGTATTTATAACACTAAAAGCTATGCTAAAGACTAGGATATGCTAATGCTATATGCTAATGCAGAACTACGGCTAACCTCCTACGCTCGCTTGCAAATCCAACTCCCAACTCGTCACAAAGCGTGGCCGAGACGCTCGATGCTTTTATAACTTTGGCACGGAGCTGCTACGTAGTACTCTACTGGTTTACGTAGTATCTTACTCTTTAGCCATTGGCTAAAATTTATTCAAAATGAGTCAAATTCTATGTTTTAAGCTGAAGGTGGAGCTATACTGTGGTATTTAGGCAGAATTTTTAATTTTTAAAGAAAATGCACCAAAATGCTAAAATAATGAATACACACATTTGAAACACTATTAGACACTCATTTATACAGTTCATCAGCAAAAAAGAGTTAATTTAGACGTTACTTGCTCTTTAAGCAAAGGTGGAAAGCAACGAATTGCATTTACTCACGTTACTGTAATTGAGTAGCTTTTTTTGTGTATTTATTCTTTTAAGTAGTTTTTAAAATCTGTACTTTTAGTTGAGTATGTTTGTTAAAAAGAATTGTAATTCTCTACATTTTAAATCATATCCGTTACAGAGTAAAAATTAATTGTAGGCTTAATAAATGTAAAATATTGCATGAGCGCCGCATCTAAACCATTGGGGGTGAGGGGTGGGGGTGGTGTGTGTGTATGTGTGTGTGTGTGTGTGGGGGGGGGGGTACACTTTTGATAATGAGGACAAACAGCCGCAGTTTTGCTCAAAAACATCAGTTCAGTCCTTGCGATCCACTTGCTATTTACCTCCTCTCTCCCTCCTCTCCTGTGGGTTGGAACCCACACCTTCGTGCACCGGTGTGACGTCATCAGAATTCTGCTCGGTTTGGTAGCCGGACTCGGTTCCGTGTTTGAAATGTGTTTCCCTACCGCTCCGCACAGAAGTGGCAAAATAATGTTTAGCGCTCATAACAAGCGGATTCTCAGCGGTTTGTTCATAAAACAGAAGACCTGCAGGCCTCTGTGAGTTATAACATCCTAATACTGTTTCAGTTGTAAACATTGTGCTCCATCCCTGTTTGAACTCAGAAGTTGCTTCTTGATGCCACAGATATGTGAGGATTTAGCTTGTTTCTTTAGCCGTTCAATGTAGTTAAATTAGTCATTCAAATAATTCTAAAATGCTGCTGCTGCTGCTGCTGTGTGTGTGTGTGTGTGTGTGTGTGTGTGTGTGTGTGTGTGTGTGTGTGTGTGTGTGTGTGTGTTACACATATAGGACTGCATGAGACAGCATGGTTTCATCAAATCCATGCATCTTATTTCTTGGTTGAAGTAATGGCAAACAAAAATAACTTCCATTTCATAAATGATGTGTCAATAGTGTCTACGATAATGTTTTATCTTATATTGGACCTATCTTTGGTCTGGGAGGTGTAACATAGGAGAGGAGAGGAGATACATGCATGAATTTAAAGTTCATGTTTGGAGACCAACCTTCACAGTTTGGAGGCTCACGCTGGTGAGGAGACACCGTTAGTTCTAGTAACACCTGGGCTCCCAAGGCCTATTCTGACAGGATGAATGTTTTGGGACCCTTAAGGATTCCAGTTGGATGACTGGAGGATTATTTAGGAGGATTGGAATGAACAAACTGATTTCAGTGGTGAAGGGTTAAATGAGTGAGTGAAACCACTACCAAGGATGAACTCTGCTAACTTTAAAAATCAGCTCCTCTAAATAAGCATGAAGGTCAGAGAGGAGCTCTAGGATGGACATGGATAAAGGAACTGTAATGTAGAGGTAAAGTAGGGTAGGGCCAACGTTAGCAGCTGTCATACGGTCCATCTGAAATGTTTGACTGCATTAGGCTTGTTATATTATGTGACAGGTTAGAGCACAGTCTCATGTTAGAGTTTTGTCATGAAAACATTGAGATACCTCACATACTGATGGCATCTAAAAAAATATTTTTTTCTCAAAATAAAGAATAATTTTGATCACAATTGAAACTTACAATCCTAGAAAACCCTCATCTAATCATTGTGCACGTCCTGTTCTTACTGATTGGATAGAAATCCCTCCATCAAACTGTGTGTGTGTGTGTGTGTGTGTGTGTGTGTGTGTGTGTGTGTGTGTGTGTGTGTGTGTGTGTGTGTGTGTGTGTGTGTGTGTGTGTGTGTGTGTGTGTGTGTGTGTGTGTGCGCGCGTGCGTATCGAACACGGAAAAACATGGCGGACTGGCAAGAACTAGTATGGCAGAGGTTCGTAAATACAGACATTTGTATGATTCAGCTCTCAAAGATCGTCGTGATCAACATGTTGTTAATAATTCTTGGAGAGAAGAAGCTCGCACTGTCGGAAAAGACGAGGATGCTGTTCAAAAATGCTGGAAAAACATGAGGGACCGATATGTGAAGGCAAGGAAGGAGAACAAAGGGAAAAGCAGTGATCCTGGTGGAAACAAGAACACTCCACCAATTCTAAAAGAGCTGAGTTGACTCTCAACTTTCATTAAACATAGAGCAACAGAGATCAACGTGACATCAGCTGTGGTAAGTAAAGTTATTTTTCTGTGAAGGTTAAATAAATGTATTTGATCACAGGATTCATAGAAAGACTTTGTATTTATTTTTCTTTTAATGTTGAATAACAGCTTCAATAAAATAAGTATATGTTATTTTTATTGTATTTATTTTGAAGGTTGAGGATGATTCACAATCAGAGGCAGATCTCCTCCAGTCTGCTTCCCCACCCTCTCCTGTCCCAACGCTGCCACCTTCATCCAGTTTATCTGAATTCAGCACAAAATGCCCCTGCACCCTCCAAGACACGTTTTCCTACAGTTCTCCAATGGAAAAGGTCTGCTCCTCTCCAGGATCCAGTGGTGGTACGTGCAGTTGTACTTAGACTTAGAGTTAATTGGAAATGTATTTTAAAATATTTACAAAACTGCTTTTCTGTTCAGGTTTAACCAGTGTCTCAGAGAGTCCAGGCCCAGCACCAAAGAGGAGGAAGAAGATGGTTGATGTTTTGCTCAAAAGGCTTGACAGGGTTGACCATGACAAAGGTGTCCATAATGACACAAAAGACATCAGATTTGGATATGTTGTTGCTGACTTACTAGGAAAAATATCATCTGAAAAGAAAATGTCAGTCCAGTTCAAAATCTTCCAGCTGCTGTATGAAGCTATAGAGTAAAAAACTCAACAGTAGATTTTTTTATGGTTTATTTTTTATTTTTTTCATGTGAATTAACTCAGACTGAGTTACATGTCATTTATGTTTACAAGAACCCAACCTTGAACACAATAACAATGGTGTGATTTCATGCATTGAGTTGAGCTCTATTCCTTGTTGCCCAGAGAACTGAATTAACTGACTGCAGAACTGAAAGATGCCCTTTCATCTGCAGACACACGATTCAGACCAGACCAGAGGCTTAATTCAGTGTACCTCTCCTTACCACGCTTTCCTGCCAAGGTACAAGTCTTTGCGGTAACAGGAAGAATGACTTAAAGTCATTTCTGTCTGGAATTGCAGCCCGAGTTGCTCATGCCTTGCATAGCTGTCCAGCATCCAACAGGTTGCTGTCACCGGCAACTACTCTTCTCTATTCCCCATACACGTCATCACCTGCAGATGTGAAAGAGTCAGAGAACCTGGGTGGGATGTAGCGGGTGACTGGGGTGTTGGCAGCATCAGTGCTGCTCAGGTAATTGTGTAAAGCCACACAGGCCTTCACAACTTTAACAGTTTTGTCAGGGTGGAAGTCGATTGGTCTTCTCAGGATCCGCCATCGGGCTGCCAGAATGCCAAAGCTGTTCTCTATCACCCTCCTGGCACTTGAGTGGCGGTAGTTGTAAATCCACTGTGTGTCATCAAGGTTTGTTCCTGCAAATTAAGTTGAGATTAGGTTATATAATAATCCCAATTTATAAAATCGTCATCATAACACATCTTAATAATAACATACCTGGAAAAGGCCGCATCAGGTTTTGGTGGGGAGGGAAGGCCGCATCATCTAGGAACACGTGTGGAACAGTAGTGGTGGAACCAGGCAGGTTGGCCGGGAGTGGTAGGTCCAGGGTTCCATGGAGCAGGCTGCTCCCGAACATGCACTCCTGAAAAACTCCACCATCACTCTCTCGCCCATATGCCCCTATGTCCACCCTGCTAAATCTATAGTTAGCATCACACACAGCCATGAGCACGAGGGAATGAGTTCCTTTGTAGTTGAAAAAAATCATTTCCTGCATTTGGTAGTGCTTTTATGATGTTTTCCATCCACACAACCCAAACAATTTGGGAAATTCCACACACACCAGAATTCCTGGGAGATGTCTGCCCACTTGTTTTTGTCAGGTAATAAAACAAAATCACTGCACAACGCCGACCAAAGTGCCTCACAGACTTCAGTGACAATGGGGGAGACTGTTGTGGATCCTAGCCTGTAGCTTGTGCCACGCTTTGCTGACTGTTTCCTGATACAAGCACACGAAGCGTGACAGCAAGTCTTTCTTCCAGTTTCACAGGGCTACTGTGGGTCGCTGCGTGGTTAATATATGGTTGAATACGATGCAACAAGTCGTCAAATCTATTGGCAGACATGCGGAAGTACTTGAAATGTGAAAGTTCGTCGATTCCACGCATGGGTCTCACAAGGGAACTATATTCACCTTCGTCGCGTCTACTTTGGTTTAATGGACGAGTGGACCATCTCCTTTGTCGTCTGCTGTGTAGCAATAGTAAATAACATACAATTTCTTCCTCTTCAAGTAACCTCGCATGCCTCAACCGTGGTGTAGCCATGTTGTAAACAACAGTTATTTCTACTTCTACTATGGTGTAGTGTTGGATGCATGCTGTAGAGCTCCATGCTGCCCCCTACAGTTTAGGAGAATATTGGCTCACCGCTGAGACAAGCCGCATGAACCATAAACGCTGCAATTTGTGAAGCGCGTTCCATTTGCTAGCCGCATCACCAAGCGGAAAGTAAATGCGTCAAGCATAAACCGAGCTTAAGCTACAGCTGCTACACTCCTGCTTAGACTCTATTAAAACCTGGATGGCTGGGAACTTTCTTCAGCTGAATGAAGATAAGACTGAGATCCTCATCTGTGCCCCAGACAAGCTGGTTCCCAAAGTCAGAGTCTCTCTTGGTCAGCTAGCTTCGCACACAAAACCCTCTGTCAGGAATCTTGGCGTGACCTTTGACCCAGCTCTCACCCTGGATTCTCATGTCAGTTCTCTTGTTCGCTCTTCCTTCTTCCATCTCAGGAACATTGCAAAGCTGAGTCCCATTCTGTCCCGTTCTGAACTTGAGACAGTTATCCACACCTTCATCTCCTCACGCTTAGACTACTGCAACTCTCTTTTCACGTGTCTGAGCAGAACCTCCCTGAACCGTCTACAGGTGGTTCAGAATGCCTGTGCTCGGCTTCTGACCAAGTCCTCCAAACACACCAACATCAACCCACTTCTCCTCCAGCTTCACTGGCTGTCAGTCAACTTATGGGTTCATTTCCAGATCCTGGTTTGGGTTTTCATGGCCTTACATGGACAAGCACCATCTTACATTGGTGGTCTTCTCAGTCCCTACACCCCCAGCAGGTCCCTGAGGTCCAGTGACCAAAGCCTACTGGTTGTGCAGCGCACCAGGCTAAAGACCAAAGGTGACAGATCATTTGCTCCTGTGGCCCCCAGACTCAAGACTTTTCTCCCTCTGAGCCTGAGATCAGTGGACTCAGTGGTCTCCTTTAAAAATATGCTGAAATCTCACTTGTTCATGCTGGCTTTTGCGTGACCTTCGTCACCACGCTCTCCTTATTCTGCTCTTTCTACCAATGCCACCTTTCCCAAGATTCACTGATTTCCCTCTTTCCTATAAATTTTCTCTTTCCTTACAGTTTTAATCACTATTTTTTCTCATTTTTACCATATGTTTTAATAATTTATTTAAGTCTTTTTTCATATTTTAAAATGTTTGTTCTTCTGAAGTGCCTCGTGATTTTTATCTTTAGAGGCACCATATTAAAGGTTGTTTTCTTTCTTCTTTTCTTTTTAGAGACCATAAGAAGAGCTGTTTCAGTAGAATGAGCTGAAACTATAGAAACTATAGTAGATACATGTATGACCGGAAACTATTGTAGATAGTGGAAGTGTGGAGGCCAGTTGCCTACCACTCCAGATGTCTCTCTGACGCTGAAACACTTAATGCACAGATAGAAAAAGAATATCTGGCTAGCGTTTGGGCTTGTGAGAAGTTTGACAAATTCCTATATGTGGCTTAGACGAATTCGGACTAGACTCTGACCATAAGCCATTGGTATACATTATACCGTAGCCCACTGTCGCACACAGAAGAAAAGGCCAACACCCACAAAGAGATACTTCTATAAGGCTACCATCATCCAAGTCATCCCTGCGTCATATTCAAGGATGGACGGACTTAAAATGGCCACATCAGCTGATGGAGAACTACAGTCTGTCATCAAACATATAAGAGATGGGTGTTTAGAATGCAGTGGGAAACTGCCACCAAATGTAAGAGCATTCATTAAAGTAAAAATGAGCTTTCAGAAGCTGATGGCTTAGTTATAGAGGCTTCAGAATTGTCATCCCGAAATCACAGAGAGCTGATATTCGGGACAGACCACATGAAGGCCACCAGGGACTGTAGAGTGAGAGTAAAGTCATCTGTTTATTGGCCAGGCTTCTTTGCAGATTTCAATAACAATGTGATGCAATGCCACACCTGCCTGGAATAGAAACAAACCCAACAGAAAGAGCCACTGATTTCCACTCCCTTACCTCAAAGTCTGTGGAAACGAATCGGCATTGATATCTGAACATAACAAGATTAACTATCTGGTAATATCAGACTACTACTCACATTTCTGGGAGGTGTTGCGTGTACCATCCATAAAATCAACCGTTGCCAGGTTTGATATTCCAGAGGAAGTGGTGAGTGACAATGGACCACAGTTTGCTGGAGCTTCGACAGCTGCAAAAAAACTGAATTTTATACACACCACCTCCAGTCCTCACCACCCATAAGGAAACAGGCATGCAGAGGGAGCAGAACAGACTGTCATAAGGATCCTTTGAAATAAAGACCCCCTACTTGCTTTTATGTGTCATAGGTCAACCCCATCCTTGACTGCAGGAGTTGGTCCAGCTGAACTTCTCATGGGGAGATAGATTAATACTGCTACCAACACTGGAGAAGAACCTTCAATCTAAGTGGGAAAGTAAAAGGTTTGTGATGTAGAACGATGCTTATGGAAAAGTTAAACAAGTCTTCTATGACAACCGCCACCATGGAGTCCGACCCCTGCCACCGCTACAACCTGGAGACCGTCTCTTTGGATCAAGAAAAGACTTGGAAGACACCATCAGTGAAGGAGACTCTTACCCCAAGATATTTTCTCATCAACATGCAGGATGGGGCTGTGCTGCAGCAAAATTGTCGCCATCGCTGATCTGGAACTCCATCGCCACCAACACAACTGGTTTCTATGGGGGCTGCTGAGAAGTACTGTAGTGCTTTTGTACTTGTCAGCCCCCCAGAGTTTGCTTCTGCTGGCTTGACCGAAATTGTGTCTGGGCTAGTAAAGTTAGCATAAGAGTTCCCCTCACTCCTCTTTCTTCTCCTCAAACTCAAACTTCTGCTCGCTGAAATAGTAGTGCCAGAGTAATGTAGCAGTCCTGAGAGCTTTACGGAGGACAGCTGGACTTCTTCTTTGTTGTGGAGGATTCCCCTTTGTCTGTGTAAATATATTTAGGAGATTAAATAACCAACAGATGTTTAAAGTGGGGTAATGACTCCATCAGAGTGAGGAATTCACACATGCATTCACCTCACCTCTCGTGACCATTTAGTTTGTTTTGTATTTGAGATTTGTTGAAATTTACTCATATTTTTTTTGTACTTCAGTCAGGCTAACTTGTATGAAACTGACATATTTGTGTGTTATAAGGCAATAACATGTGTTTAGTTTCTCCAGCTGTGTATTCAAGTCAGGCATTAACTGCTGTGCAACAACTGTTCAATAAACCGTCATTTTGGTTATGTCTGCCATAAACACACAACTGCAGACACAGCTAATAGTCCCTGACGAACTCATGACGTCCTCCTGTGCATTTGATTAAAAACTGCAGCAAACAGCTGTTTGTTGGATGTTATTCTATTGTTTCTTTGTCATAACTGAACAAAACTTCAAAATAAAAGTACAGCTTGACCTGAGATAGAAATCAAACACCATAGGATGGACACACACACACACACACACACACACACACACACTTTTCTTCTTCCTCAACCTGCTTCTCTTCTTGCTCCTAGATCACACACACACACACACACACACACACACACACACTCTCTCTCTCTCTTCTTGATAAAAGTATGATCAGCTTCAGCTGCATATTTATCCAGAGATTATTTGTTTATTAAAATTAACGTTGCTTTCAGTTATAATTTATCAAAATAATAAAAACATGAAATATTCATCACTCCAAAGGACTTTTCAATCAATATTTAAAAGTTTTAGATGTAAAAAATGTCAAAAGTTTGAACATTCTTCTCCTATGAGCAGGTGATTGTTTTATCGTTTAATACTTTTATTATTTAACTACAATAAAACATTTTTGTTTTATTGTTTTCCCACAAGGTTTACTATGTGCTTTTTTGTCTATGACCAATGAGAAATATTCCAAAAATCCAAACTGATATTGTCGGTACCATGGTTGTCCACTCGATGGCGCCCTCGGTCTGCAGGTGCTTCTGCAGAACCTCAGAACCTGCTGCTTTTAGTAAACGACCGCTTAACATCAACTGGTTTCAGACGAATCCGTTTCAAACATCTGTACAAAGACCCAGATCATCATTAAAGTTCTGCTGATCAGAACCATTTTGTGTCTGATGAGATGATCCCGTTCAGGTCATAAAGAACCGGGCCGGCAGCGGTTCTGAATATTTCCTGACCCCGACCCGTTCAGGAGGTGGGGGTTCCGCTCCAGAACCCGAGGACAGCTTCCTCTAGTCCTCCGTGCTCCAAGGTTCTGGATCAAAGACAAGCTATTCTGGAACCGGTTTATTATTTTCTGCAGGACAAAGAGCAGATCTGAAAGAGACGATCTGGTTCTGAATTAGGTTCACGGTTTAGATTCGGTTCGCATCTGGAGAAGGTTTCTAAATGTTCTCACATAATAGAAATGTTGACGCTCTACAGGAGAAGTTTAGAGGAGCTTCAGCGTTCTCATAAGCTGCATTGATTTACTTTGTTATTAATATTTACGGACAGTAAATTGTTTTTATTTATGTTTGATTGAAGGTTTGTTTTGTTTTTTGCAAAACGTATTTCAGGTTTAAATCGTCTTTAAGTTAAATTGAACATTTTAATGAGAAAAAAAGTGCATTATTATTATTATTATTATTGTTGTTGTTGTTGTTCGTGTTTATTTCTTTACCAATCATTAATCGAGTTTGAAGCGGATTCCGGGTCGATGACCCGTTTATCTGGTCTCTAATTCTTCTTCCTCTTCATCACCTCCTTATCATCATTAACGCGTTTGTAGCGTCTCATTGACTTTTTCTCTTCACGTTATTTTCCAGGATTTCCAGACGTTTGTGTTTCCCAGGAGGAATGCAGCGGGCTAAAGGAGGATAAATATTTAATCAGCACTGCTCTGGAGTTTGGGCTTAATTAGTAGGATTCTGAGCAGAAAGTGATGCTGGAGATGTCAGCAGCAGCATCTCCACCACCGAGAGGCCGATCAGACACGCGCTGGAAGAGATCACCGATCAGACCATTCGTGTTATCGTTTGTAGTTTTTCTATAACTCTGGGGTTCGAGCACCCGCCCGCCCTGTGTGTGTGTGTGTGTGTGTGTGTGTGTGTGTGTGTGTGTGTGTGTGTGTGTGTGTGTGTGCGCGCGCGCGCGTGTGTGGGAGAGAGAGAATAGCAAATCTCCATTTGTCTGTGCGTAGAAAAGCTCAAATCGGTGCCAAATAGCACATCGCTCGTGTCAGTCAGCCTGCATGCGGGATGACAGAGGAGATTATTCCGCCTGAAGTCGGTTAATCCTCCAGAATTTGAGGAAGTCTGGGGAACTGCAGGAAGTGCATACTGATCAGACCCCGGTGATCCGGTCGGATTCAGTCGAACCTTCAGTAAAATTTATTCTGAGTTTTATTGTGAAAAGCTTCAGCAGGAGACTTTTCTGTTGAAACGAAGCGGAACCGTTTGGATCAGACGGAATGTTTCCTCACATCTGTGACCCCCCGCACACACACACACACACACACACACACACACACACACACACACACACACACACACACACACACACACAGCAGTCACGTGCCATAAATCTCTCTCCTGCTAACTTTATTTTCGCTGCGCACACCGAACACGCGAAAACCCTATTTGGCGCGCGCTTTGAAAAACAATGACGAAACACCGAGTTGAGCCAATCACGCGCCAAAGGTGCCTCTTGTATTCTAATGAGCTGTTCTTATATGGTGCGGCCCCGCCCCCTGCTGCTCCACGACAGTCCCACGGGGATCTCCGCAGCCCTGGACCCGGGGAGAAGGAGCTATCCTCCGGGACAGAGGAGCCATAAAGTGCCGGGGAGGGAGGGGGTGAGTTCTGGCTGCCCGCTCCTCCTTCTCCCCCGGGAGCCGCCGCTCCCCGCTCCGTCCCTCCCTCTTGTTTGCTAATCATTTCATTTTACTCCTTTTTGAAGGCAGCTCCGTTTTTTTATTCCACTTTTCATTTTTCCACAATCCGCGCTGCTCGCCTGCCTCTGATCCCGGCTCTCCCGCTCCGTTCTCCCGGCACTCCGGATCCCGGCTGGTTCCCCTCCTCCTCCTTCTGTCCTCCTCCGAGATGCTGTCCCTGCTCTCCGCTCTTTTCTCAGCCCTCCTTTAACTTCAGAGACGTTTTAAAGCACCGGACCGGGCTGGGATCTAAAACAAGCCCGAAAAAACCCAGAGGACTCCGGGGCTCTTCTTTGGATCAGGACCCGGTACTTTGGGGAAGCTGACTCTGTGTCTCTCCACCCCTCCTCTTCCTCCCTCCTCTTCATCACTCCTCTTTTCTCCACCTTAATCCAGGTGGTCCTTTGGCTGCTGGAGTTGCTGCTGGAGGATTATTCTTCGTCTTTCTGGTTTCTGCTGAAGACAAAGATCCCAGAAGGACGTTTTGATGTTCTCCATCCAGGACAGCCTCCCCCGGGGGGCCCTGACCATGAAGGAGGAGCCGCTCCCCACCGGCATGACCCCGGTCCGATCCTGGATGCAGGGCGCAGGGATTTTGGACGCAAACACAGCGGCCCAGAGGTAAAACACATGACAGAACCGAACCGCTTTCATATGTGCACCGTTTGACTGATAAACCGGTCGTTTCTGCGTCCTGCAAAATCTTCTGCGAAAGTTCCTCTTAGCGCGAGAGCAGACAACACGCGCTTAAAGTTCCATCCAAATCAGGACCGAATCACAACCACGCAGATTTCCAGGAAAACAGAAAACAAAACAAGCTTAACTGATAAACACATGAAGACGACGATTTATTTTTGTGAAACAAAAACAATCTGATTGAAAACTTTTAAACCAACTGGATTTTTGTTTGAAATGGATTCCAAAAGCGACTCAATTTAGACCTTTTTAATAACAACAATAATTATTGTAGTTAACGTTATAAATACGTGGAAGTTCGATGACCCGCCAGGATGTTTTCTCCTCCTCACGCCGCCTCTTGGTGCCTCTCTGGCTCTCTACTCTCTAGCAGCAGACCGACGCGTGCGCATCAAGGAACCGAACCGTTTCCAGAAGTTTTGGCAGCTTTCCAAACCGGCATTAAAGGATTTTCAGACCCACAACCGCCGCTCCGCAATCCAATTCATTTAACACGCAAGCAAATTCCCGCAACGCACGCACGGAGGCGGCGGGCAGGAGCGGAGAGCTCGGCGCGCCTCCGGTTACCGGGACTCACCGAGTTGAGAAAAAAAACATCACTCCGTTTAATAAAAACTTATTTGTATATTATAACAAACGCGATATTAATAAAACACGAAAGCTGGAGAAGCGACTTTATTTCAGGAGATCAATTATTTTTCATTTAGTTTTTACTGAATCAGATTAAGTAAATTAAATACTCGTGATGTGCAACAAAATCTGGCCCAAATGTTTATTTAAAGTGATTCCAATAATGTTATTTCTAAAGATCTCAAATAAAAAAATCACCAATTTCATATTTTAAAAACCAGAATCTAAAAGGGCCTCGTCTGTTTAAGTTGGAAATCTTCTGTTTTGTCTTTATAAACTCAGAAATCTGAGTGGAACCCATTCAGGTGAAATCCGAGGTGATCGATGCGGGATCTGCTGAGATTAAATCAGCTGAAGATCAGGAGGGAAAATGCGCACAGAGGCTCCGATAAACGCACAAAAAGGCGCATCAGTATAGAGGAGGAACGGGCAGCGGCAGATATCACCAGGGCTCTGCTCGATTTAAATAGTTAAGTTTTTCCTGCAGAAATTCAGATTAATCTCTAAAATCTTTAACTAATTTTAGTTATTCGTTTCTAACTTTATTAAGAGATTTAGATTCAAAATCAAAATTTACTCTAAATTTGAATTTAAAATGTCGATTGTGTAAAATTAAAGAGCTTAAAAAACTTTCATTATGAAATTAATATTCACTTGCTGGATTTTCAGCCTGAGACAAACAGAAGCCAAAGTGATGCCAAAGCAAACTTTGTTTATTCTGATTTACTCTCTCCATCCCTCATCAGTGAAAACTATTTTACCTATTTGTTTTATTTCATCACAGTGATAAAAGGGCAGAAAACAATCCAATTTACAGACAACTTGTCAACAATAAATGATTTAAAATGCTGAGGAATCAGATCATTAAAATGTGTATAGCTGGTTGACTGGATAAATTACATTTACTACTGCTGCTGAAATCAAACATTTATTTCTGAGGGTTTAAAATAAATTGAGACACAATAAAAATAAAACCAACCAGTACTCACACCTGTAAGATTAAACATGTAAAAACTATCAGGTGCAGAGCTCAAAGCAGCATTTCTCCAAAAATGCCTGATTTGTCTTCAGACTGAAGCTCGAAGACAGAAACTATAGCTGATCCTGATTCTCAGAGGAGGGACTTTTAAACCACTGAAGACGAGGAGATGAATGTGAGCTCCTGCGTGTTGAAGCATCGGGCTTTACAGAAGCACGTCCGCGTGTGCAGCCCAGGGTCCTCGGCTGAGGGACAGGAGGATGTCGCGACTCAAAGAAAACAACCTTCAGTATGATCTAAGTCACAATCAGGGAGTTCTGATCCATTTGCAAATCCTTTAGCTTCAAGGGAATTTATTCACTTAAAAAAAGACAAATTAATGTAGAAACCTCCGCCTGACATGAAGGAGATCCAAAAAACAAAAACATTTCCAAACGATCAGTCAGGGAGAAAATAAACAACGCAAGTCCAAGTTCCTTCAGGTATTTTGGACCTGAGTGGTGATTGGCTTATGCAGCTTCCTGCTTCTGCTACAACCCAAGATAACTTGTTTGTTATTTTAGTGACACAAGGCTCTGATCTTAGTTGTAGAGAAAGTTTTAAATGTGAGCGAGCAGGGAGCTCAGGATGGTTCTGATCGGATGTACAGGTCCAGACACCTAAAGCAGGTGAGCTTCGGTCACTCAGACCTGGTTCTGGTTCTGGTCCTGCTGGTTCTGGTTTGGGTTGATGGTCAGACTCTCTGATTTCTTCTTTTTAATCAAGTTAAAAACAGATGTTCTTTAGTTCTCTTTTAGCTTAAAAATAATTCAACAGAGTGAAGAAATGAGATCTGAAATGTTCTCAAGAGAAAAACCAAACCAGCTGAAGGATTTCTGTTTGTTGCTGTTTCTCTTCTCTGGATTTTAGTTGTATTCATTTTGGTTTGATTAGAGTTTCTTCATACTGTAAAAAAATGTAACATTTGAAAAAGTTTGACTATTTCCGGTTCTTGTTGAGGATTTGTCTCAAATAATCTTTTATTTTTCTTTCTTATTTCGTTTTTACTAGTTTGGAAAGTTTTATTTAACCACTAAGTTCAAATGGATTTTAATTCACAGTAATAGATTTTAATGATCAGCTAGAAAAAGATGTTTTGTTCTTCTGTAGAATCAGAAATAAGCTGATTTTATTTTTTAACATTAAGCCTTTTTTTTTAAATAGAAAAATGTTCAAATCGGGTTTCTAAAGTTTTTCTTTAGAACAACAAAACTACTTCAGGGTGATTTATTCATTAGGTTAAGATTTGTTTTATAAAAAGAAAAAATAATAATAATTGACTTTTTTCAGAAAGAGTAAAAAGCTACAAACAAAATAAAATAATTCGTATGGCATCACGTTTAATTTCAGTCTGAAAATGTTCATGTTCTAAATACATTTTATATTAATTTTGTCAGAAAATTAAATCTGGTCATTTTCAGCTGTTTGAGGCCGTTTCAGGTTTTATAAAAGTCCGGTGCGCTGCAGGTCTTGGATGTTTGTGTTTGCAGAAAGTTGACAGTGTGTCTTAGAGTTCTTCGAAGATGATAACGTTCGCTTAATCCTTCTGATTTAATAACCTAGTGTAGTTAGAGTCAGGAGGAGGTTTTACCAGGAGTTTCGCCTGGTTACAGGCTTTTATTGTTTTAAACCTGTGTGATTTGTACACTCAGGAAACATTCAAACCATCTAGTTAACCCTGGTCCTGCAGGGCCACTACCCTGTATGTTTTAGCTGCTTACCTGCTCCAAAACACCTGATGGAATGAATCACCTCTTTAGCAGGTCTTCAAGCTTTTCAGAAGCCTGTTTATCGGTCATTGACTCATACCAGGCGCGTTGGTGCAGAGAAACATAAAAGACATGCAGACGGTGGCCCTCAAGGATCAGGTTTCTGTATCCCTGATTACTCATTCTCCTCCGTTATGAAACAGACTTTTATAATTCAGACACGTGTTGGAATTAAGCTGCGTTCTAACACTGCTGCCCCATCACAATACTAACATGTTTGAAATTTGATTTTCTAGCACTTAATCTGGTAAAAAATAATCGGTAATTTGTGTGTCAGAGGCATTCAAATAATAAGTGAGCGCTGATCGCTCAGACTATTTTTTTTGTTCTTCAGCTTTAATTCAGAGGATTTAATTCCTTTTATGCTTCAGTTTATTCTCATCAGAACCAAGCAGCCTAAAACCTTTTTATTCACATTCAGAGTATAAATCTGTAACATCCTGAATCAGAGGAAGTTTCTCTACTGCTGTGTGTCTGTTTAACCCTCTGAGCCTTCTCATTTCCGGAGTTTAAATCTGGCCATAAACACCTCATAAAGTCTGAGTGCTGCTGAGGTTCATGTGGAGACGAAGGTCCACATGTGGGGAAGGCTTTATGAGCTCAAATGCAAAGAAACCTTCTAAAAAGCAGCGTTAGCAGAAATATGCTGCTTTGAGTTTTAGATGATGTAGGAGGGCTGAAGATTCAGGGAATTCAGAACTTCACTTCTCTCTTTGTTTCACTGCAGGTCATTAAACGCCTCGTTCAGATCAAACAAGTAGAACTCGGATCGAGTTTGTGTTCGGGAAACAATGATTCAGATTTGGGGTTCTGCAAAGAACCACAATAAAAACTCTCAGTTTAGTTTGTTTAGATCATTTCTAAAGGAGTTGATTTATCATTACACCTGTCTCTGCCTTCCTCCACCTGTCTCCACCTGTCTCTGTCTGCCCAAGTATCCCAGATTTCCAGTCATCAGTGTTTTCATGCAGCTAAAGTAAACAAACAATGATTAAATCGGTCGGAATTTGAAGATCATGGCTCAGGCATGTTTTTGCAAATGTGTGAGTTTGTTTTCCTGCTGAACATGATGTTTTCTGCTACAGCGGACATAAAACAAAAATCCCCCCAAAATCTGGAATTTCAGCAATTTTCTGAAAACACCTAAAATTAGAGAGGAGATGGAGGGCAGTAGGAGGAGGAACACATCTTTACATGACAACCTCTCTAATGCTTCTGTGGAAGGAGAAATATGTCAGATGAGGGGAGATCAGAGTGACCTTTGAACTTTGAGGTTAAGAGGGGGTGTTGTCTCAGGAACCTTCAGCACCATTGCTCTTCCTCTCTAACCGGGATGATAACATCCTCTATGATCAAAGCTCTCCAGAACATCATCTGGTGCATAGCCATAAACTCAACAAGTCCTGATCCGGTCCTTTTCAGTCAGAAAAAGTTCATCACAACTGTAAAATGTTGAAGGAGTTTCGATGCTTCTTTCAGGAGAAATCTGTTTTTAATCTGCAAACAGA